ACTTCAATACCCTGGGCACTGCAGACCTCTCCTGACCCGCCTGCTGCTACTCTCAGCAGGGACAGGGTACTTTGTCAGTCGGCCTGTTCTGCTCCCCACTCTGTCTCTGGTGAATCCTCTCAACTCCCTGCACCTCTTACCTATACCCCAGTTCCGTATGCATAAATAAATCTTAAAAAAAAAAAAAGAAATCTAATTCAAAATATTGTCTATTAAAATAACTCGTACTAAAAGCAAAACATTGCCACACTGATTAAGACGAGTCAAGATACCCGGTGTCCACTGTTTGATCCTGTTACTAAGAGACAGGCTATAAAAGGAAAAATCCTTTTCTATAACATCAGTGGATTTCAAAGGCTAAATTATAACTATTCAAGTCCTAGCCTCCTTTTAATAAACTTATTTTAGTCATTAACTTTTTGGAACACATTATTTTCCATTTCAAGGTAACACATTTGCATTCATGTCATGATATGGTTCTTGTTTATATTTTTAATTTAAAAAATAGTTTAAACTTAAGTTCTGGAAGTTGGTTGAAAGTTTCAACATACTGATAGGAATGGCATCCACAGGCTTTTTGGTCTGTATCTATAGAGCATCAGCTCACACTATCTTGTCAGCTTTGTATTTCTCCATGATCAGGTTAGCTGTCCTCAGGCCTCCCTTAGCTTGACTTAATCTATCTTGAGAGGCAAAAAGTATACTTTCACCACTGTGTTTCATTCATTGCCAGTATTAGAAAACAGAACTTGGGATTTTTGTTGTGTTGTGTTTTCAAGCCATAAAAAGTCTCTTGCAGAAATACTTCAAAGATATAGTTTAAAGAAGTCTTTCAAAAATAAAAGTAGGAAAAGGTAGAGACCACAGAAAAGCAGGGTTACCTAGGAAACTGAATAGTATTTAAAGTTTCTACTATTTTAGCATTATTAACCCTAAACATTTTAAAATGTGTCCATCTTTTCCCACTTTTTCTTCTATGTGAACTTAGTCCCTCACTCACAGTGCCTACAATAAACAGAATCCTGAATTACAGAAAAATCATAATTCCAACTGAGTATGGTCAAAGAATCTGCTCCTAAATTTATCATGTCTGAAAAATGACTTAGTTTCATACAAGTACTTCAAAATTACACTTTAAAATATTTTGATTAATCAGAGATGGTAATTAATGTTGCACTTAAGTGCTGCTTTTGGACAGGCACAGCAGCAGTCATGGCTCCTAAATTTAGGAAGATCCATCCAAGTTGGATTATTTAAACTCACAATAAATAGATGTATTTTCTTGGAAAAATATCTATTGTTACAGTAAAACTTGAGTTTCCTTTCTAACAAGATTGTATGATTACTCGTTTATATTGTTCTTTCCGCAGGAATTCACACACCCCCTGTTTGCATCCTGTTATTCTCTTAGCGCTTCCCTTGACTTGGCTATACTATTTTCCCTACTAGGGAGAGAGCAGTTTTCATAGCACACAAAAGCTCTAATAACTGACCATCTTTTCCATCTAGCATTTGATTTGAAAACTCCGTCCTCTGTGTTATGTCAAATATTGCATTGCCTTCCTAGATCACTGGTATCTGGAGAAGACTCTGGAACCCTATTTTAGGATTATTTCCCTCAGCTTCCATGTAGCTGTTTCAATATGGGACAATCTAATAAAGTCCTCAAGGTACATGGCTTTCATTTATAATCTTCCTACAATTGTGTGCATCAGCTTTATCTTTCTGAAGGCAAAGAAAACAATTTAAAAATAATTAATTAATTCAGGATATACTCCAGGTCATGTTTAAGCACTGCCGCAGATTCACCTAGCATGCTAATTAAGATATAGATTCTTTGATTCTACTTCACATCTACTGACTCAACTTAAGAGGGGCATGCCCTGAAATGTGCCTGTTAAACAGCTTTCTAGGTACTCCATATGTATATTGAAGTTTAAACAGCAGTAATATAAAAGACCTAAAATTAAGATAATATAACTGGAGAAAAAAAATGATACAAACATGGTAATAATATCATACTGTCAGATACATTAAATCAAAACAAAAAAAATATATAAACTCATTAAAGAAGAGTTTGGGGCCCTACCTATGTCACTATAGGTTAAAGCACAACATTGTGAAGCTGGCCAAGGCCACTTTGGTGCGAGTTTGATCCCAGGCCTGGAGGTGATCCACATGGTATAACAGACATCTCCTGTCTCACTGGCTGCTCCCCTCAGCAGTATACCTTGTCAATCTGCCTGTTCTGCTCCCCACTCTGTCTCTGGTGAATCCTCTCACCAACCCTGAACCTCTGACTTATACCCAAGTACTGTATGTATAAATAAACCTTTAAAAATAAAGGTAAGTTGTTGCAAAGAGTTTAGAAAAAGGAAGAGTTTGGTATCTCCTTAGCCTGAGGAATTGAATAGGACATCTAAGTCTAATCAGACATGAATAAGTATATGTGCACGTTAAATATACACACAGACTGCCCAGAAGGTAATAAGTTATGTTAGTACTTCAACAGCACACTGACTACTCCCTAAGCCAACTTCAGTTCAGTTCTGACCTACTATTTGTAAACCGTGAACAACCCATACATTTTCTTTCTTTTTCAATATACATAGCTTGATTTTCCATTGTAGAAGACTAGGAAATGAAGAGATAAAAGTTCAGGCCGACAAATCTTTACCAGAGTCAAGGTTACCGTTTCCCTGGCTAGTGACTGTGACTCTCTCTCTAAGGGCAGAGATGACATCTTACATTCATAGACTCCCTCTCCACAGAGTCAAGCAGGAAACAGCATGCAAGGATAAGTGCCACGGAGCAGGAAAGTGGTCCATAAAGCTGGAAGTGGCCTCAAGGTTACAATATACAGGAGTGGATCCTAAACTTCAACATGTCTAGTTCAACTACTGGAGTCTAAGAGTCTGTCTGTAGATCTAGGGGGGCCCATTTGCTGGCTTTTCTAGGAAGTTCCAGGCAAAGCTGGTGCTAATGCTGCTTCTCTGCAGATGATACTTTGAGAACCTCATTGCAAGGGAAAAGCATTAATGATTTTGATGTATAAAAATGTTCCCAGAAAAGTAACTGAGATTTAGTCAGAAAAAAAAATAATGTTGGGCATCTAGAAAATGTGTTCCATTTTTAGCTTTATCACGAAATAACTATATAGCTGAGAAATACACATACCACTGAATATTACCAAGATCAAGGGTCTGGGACAGATGAAAACTGAAAATTCAAAGAGGTTAGAAAATTGAAGTAACCACTATGAAATTTAACTTTGTTTAAATCATTATCCTCAAATCACTTGTCTATTGCCCAGAGCACAGTTATACCCAAAATAAAGAACATATAAAAAAGAAAAACCAAACCATCTAAATACAAATGTAAAAGGAATGAGATAGTTTGTAGTAATCTAAACATAAGCTATAAATTCAACGGTCTGTGACTATGGTGTCTAGGCACTGCCTAGTTACTGAGAGTAGCAATAGCAACCTCATCTAAGGCTTGTTAGAAATTCAGTGACTGGCCACACCTAAATCTACTGAAAAAGAACCTTTGTCTTAACAAGATCCTTGTGTGATTTACAAGTATATAAAAGCCTGAGGAGCAGTGACACTGACCACTGAGACTGCATCATTAATTATTTACCACTACTGCAAATTAACACGATATATTTAAAAGATGGAACATTTGCTGTAAAGAAATGATTTGACATAAAGAGAAATGAAAAAATTAATTTACATGAAAAAGACAACTTTTTGAAACAATAACTTTCGTTACGGTATTTAGGACAATGAAACACTATACTATATATTGAGAGGTAATAAATGCCACCTAGTTCAAATCCTAACTTTAAAACTCACTAGTAAACTGAAATGCAGGGATGGTAACTGGGTTTGGATAAAATTACAGTTTGTCAGTGGCAGAATGGACACTAAAATCCAAATCTACTGAAGCCTATAAGAAGACACTCTTTCCAGTAGAAAAACATTTTAAAATTGCACTGCATGAAATTAACATACAGTTAATACAAAGAAGTGTGCCTAATTGAGAAAATCTAAATGACATGTCTAGGAAACATACCGAAGGAAATTCAGCATATATATTAGTTGTTTATGTCCCTAAAAAGCATGCAGAGCTGGGCCCTGCCTGGTGGCACAGCCGGTTAAAGCACAGCACAAAGAAGCTTAAGCCACTTCTGCATGAGTTTGATCCTTGCCTGCCCCGGGAGGTGACCACATAGCGTGGCAGACCTCTCCTGACCCGCCCACTGCTCCCCTCAGTAGTGTGCTTCATGGATCTGCCTGTTCTGCACCCCACTCTGTCTCTGGTGAATCCTCTCACCCTCCGCATCTCTGACATCTGACCTGTACCCCAGTTCTGTACTAATAAATAAATAAATCTTAAAAAAAAAAAAAAGCATGCAGAGCTAAGGGTGGAAGGAGAGAAAGAGATTGATTAAAAAATAAACATTAGAGTAAGTGGAAGTGAAATTGGCTATTCTTAATATGGATATAATTTCCAAATAAATGATGTTCAAAGAATGTTACTATCATATAAATTACTTAAATGGCAGAGCCTTTGATGAATGGGATTCATCAAATTGCTTTATGGAATTACTAAAAATCTAGATTTATATCAAGTTTCACAATACAACAGTCATTTTCATATATGGCTAATTTTGACAGTGTTTATCACCAAAGCAGACACAACTATATTCAAAGTATGTGTTTTAAAAATGATGGTTAAGAAATTTAACCCTGGGGCCCTCCTTGGGTGGCACAATAGGTTGAAGTACAGCATTGTGAGCTATCACAGCCACCACAGTATGACTTCGATCTCCTGACCCACCCACTGCTCCCCCAGCAGTGTATTTCAGTCAATCTGCCTGTTCTGCTCCTTACTTGAATCCTCTCAGCCTTTGCACCTCTGACCTGTACCCTAGTTCTGTATGTATAAATAAATATATTTTTTTAAATAAAAGAAAATTAACCCTTCTAGCTTACCATCAAAGAAGCTCTTGGCTCTCAGGTAACTGACACTGAGTCTAAGAACCGAGAGTTTGTCCAGCTTATTAATAACATCTTGTGGAAAAGGCAACAAGCTAGCCAGTCGGTCTAGCTCTGTATTAAGTCGGTCTCTATGTCGCTTGGAAGGATTTGATTTGATTCCTTCAGCAGGGATTGGCTTGACACTGAAAAATAAACAGAAGACCATTAAACCCTTAAAACATGAAGCAAAATTTTCTACTG